TCGAACTTTAGTTCACCCAAACTTAGGCGTATAACTCTATCATTCTCAACTTTTAGCTTTTCCCTCAGCTTCCCCTTAGGCTTTCCAGCTGGAATGGAGATTAGACTCTTGTAAGCGGGTGCTCCGGACGGCTGCAATAGCCAATCACAGGCTTCGTTGTCGCCATCACATTGACTTTGTTCACTTGTATCAGTCACTCTGCAAATAGATCAGGGCAAAAAGGTTTCAAAATGAGAAATCTATGCAGAAATATGAAAAAGTATATGAAGCCTTTTTTCGGCTGACCTTATCATCGTCATATGTGAGGTCTGGTGACATTCTCCCCCATGTATCCTCATCGGAATCTTTGTCTTTCTGAGAGTTACTTCTATTGTTTGATAAGCTCTTATCTTCAAGGTATTCCTTCGGAGGTTTAGTCGATATGACAATTCGATGTTTCAGTTCTTCTGGGGAAGGGAATTCTTTCACACAATCAGATTCAGGATAAAACAACATGTTCCCAAATGTTTGCATCACCATCTACACATATATAAGAAGCATTCATTAGAAAAAATGTATAATTTTCCTGGAAAGATTTATGGGTTTTAGAATTCTAAAGAGAAAACGATGATAGACCTGAGCAACTTTAGCCTGAAGATCTTGGGTAAGGTGATCTTCAAAAGCAATGATCACCGGGTATGGAGATGCAGAAAAAGCATGCTCTTTAATGAATCTCAAACATTTAATCAGCTCTACTGGAGTAGTCAGAGTCCTACATTTCACAAATACACATTTCAATAAACCTGAAATTAATTGACAAAGTTCTGTTTTCGAACTGTAAAATGCTTACCATCCATGAAGAACAAGAACATCATCCTTCGTAGAATTTGGCCATATATCAAGTTCCACTACTCTTAAACCTCTCTTTAGAGCCTTTATGATTGGAACATCGCTGCAATCGCTGCTGATTTGATTTCCAGTCAAATATGAATTGTGACCGGTGTATATGAAGTAGTGGGAGAGTGGAGCTGTCATGTCTTGATGAACCTGAATGGTATTTGTTCTATGTCAAAACATTAGATTTTCTTTCCAAACAAACACCTGATGTCCAGCTTTTTCCAGGCAACCAAACAAAACACAAGGAAATAAGCAGAAAAAGGGTTTATACCTGATTGAGGAGAGGAGGATTGAGATCCACGGAGTATAAGTAGAAGTGAAAATCTTCAAGACTTAAACCAAACTTTGTAAACTTTCCACTGTTACGCCTCCTTCTAAGCACTTCCTGCACAACCCTCTCGGCATCTTCCATTGAAGCTTCAACATCACCTTGAACCTCCACTAAGAACCGCCTCAGCTGCTCCACCATCAAGCAGGAACCTCCTCCGGCGGCGTACGCCATGAAAACATCCTTCACATCAGCCGGAGGTCCTACCTCAGTGACCCCGAATTTTTTTGGGAAACAAATACACATACTATAATCTCCCATGTAGCCCATTCAAAAACTAGCCTTGAGAAACCCTCCTTTTACTGAATCAGATCAAAAGAAGAAAAATTTCAAGTTCTGATGATGACAATCTTTACTTGACTTTGGAGTTGTTTCCACTGGTTTCCACTTTGTTGGAAAGTTATGGATGACTTTGACAGGTGATACGTTGCTTCTACTCCTTCTCCTTATATATATCATATCCGTTCAACGAATTCCCGCCTTCTTTGTTTGAGTGCCATGAGAGATTCCGGGAAGCTGGATTTTATTATCACACATGCAAATTTGAAAGGAGAAAAAATGGAAGCAGAGAGATATCTTTTGACAAAGATTAGTGCACTTGTTTAGAAATGAGAATAAACAGTGATAGTCGTGGATGAAAGTAAAATTCTTGGTCAAGTTTTCACCTTTTTTCTTCTCCATTTTGATCGTTAAAATCTGCTTTTGATTTATTAATTTTGTTTGAGATAAAGCCTTGGGGTGTTGGTCTATGTTGCTGTGACTGGGAAGATGCCTTGTGGATTTCACACAATAAGAAATCAACAAGGAAAAAGAGAGAACCCCTTTCTCTTTTTAATTAATTTTAATTACGAAAAAGAATCAATGCCAATTAGTTGCCTTGCTCGTCAGTCATCGAATCTAACTTTTTTTTTTAACTAAAGAATATAAGCCTTTTCGATAAAATCAAATGGACACTATTATCACAATTACAATGCCACACGCGCATACCAAGAAGTTTAGCAGCGACGCTTTCTATAGAAAACGCCACTAAAGGCATGCGCTTTCTGTGACATTTTTCTAAAGAAAGAAGCTGGGTGTTTATTGCGAATGTTTCTTCGCCCTAGATTAATGAAAAGATTTTTTTAGATTTAAGTAGTTGTATTTACATAATATGTGTATATTATTTATAATTTTCTTAATCAATTGATAATTCACAAATATAATTATTTGAATTTAGATCTCTAAAAAAATAAAATTCTCTTTATATATGAGATCACTTAATAAATTTTATATATTTTTCTAAATTAATTGTTTGATTAACGTGCAATAATTATATTTAAACAAATTATGCTAAATAGAAATATTAAAATTGTCTGGCGTTAGCCCAAGTAGCCAATGGTTCAGCACAAGTAGATAATCACATTTCATCGATAAAAACTGGCTTAATGTAAAAATAAGTATTCAAACTATATTTAAAGTTAACTTTACGTATCTAATTTTTTTTTCTATTAAAAGTAAATGTATAACGTTTTATCGTTATACTTTTAATTAACACATTGTTTTTATAATTTTTGAAATTATATTTTAATTTTTTAAAATATTATTACATTTCAAAATAATCAAAAAAATCTCTAAAATTTAAAACAAACCCCAAACTTTTCAAGTATCTAATTTCAAACACTCATTATTGTTACCGGTCATCTTTGATTGTCGCAATCGTCTCCAAATGATCACTCACTTGTCACCGACCACTTATTGATAGACCATCATCCTTGTCGTTGCAGTTTTTGGACTAGGTGTCGTTGGCCTTACTGCTACTAAAGGTACAAGGACATCTTGGGCCATTGTTGATCTAAATCCGAGAGGATTTGAAGAAGTTGAGAGGTTTGGGATTACAAAGTTTCAAAATCCATAAGACTACGACATGATCCATTTATAGATGCTTAAGGAATTAATGTTACTGCATATTGCTTTAAATTACCTACCACCCTTGTTGCGGGTAGTTCTGTCGTATAACAGTCTAATTTAAAGTTAAGGAAAGACGTAATTGAAAATGTTAAATTTTTATTTTAATATTTTCAACTGAGTGTAACATAAAATGTTAATATTTTAACATTTTCACAATCTAAAATGTTAATTTTTTAACATTTTCAAATATTTTCGGTTAACATTTTTAATTTTAACCGAAAATGTTAAAAAATTAATATTTTAGATTACGAAATACTAAAAAATATAACATTTTAAATTTTAGTTAACCAAAAATATTAAAAAAATTAATATTTTCGATTGTTCTTTGACCAAATTGTCGTTGATTAGATATTCGCATGATCTCTTTTTCGCTTGTTTTACCCATCGCACTTTTTTTTTTTTTTTTTTTTTTATATTAAGTCGTAAAAATTCAAAATCAATGGGCATATGGGAGCGACGAACGACGTCGTTTGCTGCAGCAATGATAAATAAGTAATATTAAGTGCCTACTTTAGGGTTCTTTCTCTCTCATATGGCTAAGAGATTGGGGACTAAGCTATTTGTTAGCAGTTACTCACCATATACCTTTGTCTTCCTCACTTTTTCTCTGTCGATTTATGTGTTTTTTTCTTAATTAATTAATTAATTTATAAACTTGGTCGCAGAATTGTCATTTTTTACAAACCATCAAGAGCTTAAGACTTTGTTTTCCCCGTTTGGTGTAGTTAAAGAAGGTACTGAATCTTCTTTACTCAATTTTACAATTATTTTCTCCGAATATCATAGTGTTTGATAAATTCATGTATTGGGTCTTCTTGTGAGAGTGTAGCTAGACTCATCAGAGACCCCAAAACTCAAAGGCCTAAAGGGTTTGGTTTTGTTACATTTGAAACCGAGACAGAAGCTCACAAGGCATTGAAAGCCATGAATGGCAGGGTAATCCTCTAATTTTCACCTTATTTCTTTATCTTTTTTCATCTATTACTATCTGGGAATTCTCCTTTTTGGAGTTTGAGCTAATTGTCTGTGCTTTTCCCCCCAATGTCAATTCTGATTTGCCATCTGATTCTTAGGTAAATTTGAGGTTTAGTGAAACTGAATCAATCTGATCAATGCTTTGTTCACTATGTTAGTTTCCTTTAAATTGAGTGCATTTTTCTTGTTATCGAAACATGTTGCGGAATGCATGTTCGAATGCATCTTTTCTTACACGTTTGTGTTCTTTTGCACAAGATTGTCCGTGGGAGGCTGATTTTTGTTGAATTCGCACATGATAAGGGATCCAAGACTGATACAAACAGCTGAAAAATTGGCACAATAATGCTTGTCTCGAAATCTTTTTGTTTTACCGGCAGTTTGTAAGATAGTTTCCACCAGTTTTATGTTCTTAGAGAACTCCAAAATTCAAAAAAAAAAAAATGTAGAATGTAACTCCATTGATGATCGTATGTATCAACATTCTATGGAAACATTGTGATTGTTATTATCACTTGAGGAAAATGAAACGTATGGTCTACCTTTTTGACTTCGCTGACAAAACTACACCCTTCAAAATCTGTCTACTTGAATTCCATTTTTAAAAGAAAGTATTCCTTATAACATTAAGGCGTACATGGCCTAGATTCGGGCATGTCTTACATTGTCATTTTTTCCTGGTTTTATCATGTATATAGACAGTCTTTCTTTGGATATATATTGGACACGAAATGAAGAGTTGGAGCAGCAACACAGTTTGGGGTTGGATTTACAGCACCAGTTATAGTTGGGAATGGAGGGATGAGTATTGTTATTAAGGATCATAACTTTAAGATTAAAAGCATAATTAGGTGGAACGATAGCATGGATAATCATGGTTGAAGACACAATTGGTGAAGTATTTAATTAACTTGGCCTGTAAGTAACTATAATAGCAGCAGTGTTCTGAATCAAATAGCTGATATCCTGGAGCAAAGTTGAGATGATGCATGGTAGGATTATTTGGTGTAGAAATTTATGTTACTAGAACTTGAATAGGTTATTTGCTCAAGGCTAATATGTTTGTTTATTTGAAGAATCCTTGGAGGATTGTGTATGTAAATATGTGTCAAATGTCAAATGTTTGACTACTTAGGGTCCGTTTGGTTGGGGGAAAACATTTTCCCCGTTTTCCTGTGTTTGGTTCCCGTAAAACACCAAGGTCAACGTATTTTGTTTTACGGTCAATGGAAAAGGGAGAGGAAAACACGGTAAAATCACTTACCGTTTGGAAAAGGGTAAGTTGTTTTCCATCTTTCTCCTGTCCTTTGCTCCTCAACGAGAAGAAGCTTTGTTCTCCCATCCCTCGCTCCACACCGGAAAATCGATCGATCTAGTGGCCTCCTTCTCACCGACGAGGCGTGCGGTCGTCTTCTCAGGTATCTCTCTTTTCATCTTCCTTGACCTCCTTTTAAGAAAATGAAAATGTTGCTTTCAAAATAGCTGTAATAAGTTTTTTTTCTCTCAAAATATTAATTTAAGAAGAATGAAAGCATTTGGTGTCCTTGTCCTTGCTGCCCTTTTAGCTTCATATCATTTTTTATTGTTGCAGGTTATGATTACAATTTGTTTGTCTTCCCCTCTGAGTGCAATTTCTCTGAAGTGAGATTTAGCCTTTATTTGGTGAATATTGTTAAGCAAAATGCAGAAAATAAATCTGGAAGGCTCTCCTTATTCAAACTATATAGTTTTCATACTTCTTTGATGTCTTTATTTTTAAATGCGCTCATGTTTCGCTGTTTTAAATGTGCATTTTCTATGGAAATTTCTAAACATTAGTTTTTAAGCATTGCTTCTTTCATAGCATAGATTTGGTAATCAGAAATGTGTATGATCAGGGGAAGTTGGATGGTCTTAATTGATGCTGCAAAGGGCTGTGCAACACAGCCTCCAGATTTGTCACTGTATCCTGCAGATTTTGTTGTCATCACATTTTATAAGGTAAATGTATGAGACCATTCAGAACCTTTTAGTGGGTATTAACTCTTTGTTTATCCTTAAATTGTAGAAAATCAGAATAAATTAATCTAACAACATAATGTTGTTTTGCCGTTGCATTGTCATGCTGAAGTTGTTTGGCTATCCAACTGGATTTGGTGCTCTCATTATTCGAAATGGTAAGTGGCAGAGTCTGTAGATTACTGGTTTCTGAAGTTATACCCCGCTGGTGGTAGGGCTGAGCAACGAAACCGAGAAAACTGAAAAACTGACACGAACCGAGTAAAACAGTTCGGTTCGGTTTAACCTTATACGGTTCGGTTTTCGGGTTGGTTTAAATATCAAAATCATATAATTCGGTTCGGTTCGGGTTTTCCATATGGAACCCATTTGTTCCATATTAACCCGAATAAACAAATTGGTCCGGTTACCCACTTAGGCACTTACCCAGTTACCCGTACCCATAAGCGGTAAGCCCAATTAAACAAAATAAAGAAAACCTAAATCTAAATAACAATATTTTGTTTTTCTCCACTCTCCAGCCCTTACTCAGCCGTTCGACTCTCCACTCTCCATTCTCCAGTATCCACCATTTTCATTTCTACAACGATTCGACAGAGCTTCCAGTCTTCAACTGTAACGATTCGACATAGCTTCATCTCTTTCCCTTCATCTTAGCATCTTGAACGTGATTTCATAAGGTAAATAATATTAAAAATATTTTGGTATGTTAATTTTGGGGGTTTTTTGTGGGTTTCAATGTTTCATTGTTGATTGCTATTTTGTTTCATGAAATATATTTATTTGCGTGTAGGTCTGTGTTCTGTTGATCCTGTTTTGATGAAATATATTTGCGTGTGGGTCTGTGTTCTATTCCAGAAAGGGTATTTTGCTGCAATCATGTCCACGTAGTTCTTCAAATAATGTACAAGATTCTTATGATTGTGAGAGTCAGGAACGTATAAGGAAATCTTAATGAATGAGCAGTGAAATATAACTTAAGTGTCCCTTTGTAATAATGGAAATCTTAATGAATGAGCATACCATGGATTCATATGAAACAAATTGTTCATATCAGCTATTGTAGTTGGTGCCGGTGGCATCTCAGGCTTTTTCTTTGTCATGGGAGCTTTGGGGAGAGAAAAATCACAAAACAATTACTGAAAAGATGTACAATTATCTGGCAAAACATTTTCACATATTGAAAATGCACAAACTGGTTGTGAAGATGTACATTTGGTGTTTCCTTCGAGTGTTGTGAGTATTTTAAAAATTTTAAAATAATAATATTTAAAATTACTTGGATGAATTCAATTAAAATATTATATCTGATAAACATATCTCTATGTCTAATTATGCTTATATATTAATATAAAACATCCAACATGGTAGGAATTTTTGGGTTGTTACCTAAAGCAAAAGCGTTGATGTAACGCGAGAAGATAAATGATAGTTATGTTTAAGATAACCTCCATTAGGATTAAATTAGATTAGATTTGGAAGGTTTGAAAGATGCCTTTTCGTGCTTCCCTGTTTTTCTTTACACGTGATTGCGACTAATCTTTGAACCAACCTATGCTAATTCATTCATTCCGTGTTTTTCAATGTCATTACATGACTTATAGGTAAAATTCTAATTGATTTATGATAACATCACCTCAAATTCATAGGCCAACCATTTGTATATGTAAATATTCATTTTTACAACTTCTAGAGTATAACCATAGAATCATTTTTTCTAATACTCTTTTGTTTATCTTGTTAATCCGATCATTGGTGTGTATTTTAAGTTATTCGAGTTATGCTTCTTCATGCTTAATATGTAGTGAGGTTAATGGTTTGTGTTGCTTTGATTGAGTTTAGCATGATGATGATTTCTGTGCGATGAACATAATTCATGTTTTGATTCAACTTTCTCTTTTTGCTTCAACTTTCACTTTCTTCAATCTTTTCGTGTCATTGTAAAATGTTTTTTTTTTCCTTCAGAAAATGAAATCTTCATCATCTAGTGCTACTCCTATGTTTTGTGCCGATGCTGAAAATCCTTGTGATACTCCAAATAATTCAAATGATGTTGTCAAAACTGATCAATCAGCTGCAGCTTCTTCAAGCATCCCATCGAATCTTCAGCAGCCTTTAAAAAAACCAAGAGGCAGGTTAGGTACCACAAGTTCTGTAGTTTGGGAACATTTTACAAAATTACCTTGTGTAGTTAGAGATATTCCACAATGTAGCTGTAATTATTGTGGAAAAACCTTTAAATGTCCAGCTAAAAGTGGAACTAGTGTCATGCATAATCATATGAAACGTTGTCCTAAGTACCCATTTAACAAGGTAGACGCAAAACAACAGAATTTGTGTTTTAAATCAGAGGAGGATGAGCAGCAAAGTTCGGGTTCAGTTATTTGGAAATTTGACCAAACACAATGTAGAAAATATTGTGCTAGGATGATTATCATGGATGAATTGCCTTTTAGAGTTGTTGAGCATGAGGGATTTCGAGATTTTTGCAATATGATGCAGCCTAGATTCCAAGTTCCGTCTAGGTTCACTATAACAAAGGATTGCATGGAAATTTACTTGGAAGAAAAAGATAAACTTTTTAAGTATTTTAAGAGCTTCAATCAAAGGGTTTCTCTCACTACTGACATATAGACTTCTAGGCAAAACCTTAGTTACTTGTGTCTCACTATTCATTTTGTTGATGATGAATGGAAATTACATAAACGAATCTTAAATTTTACACCCATTCCTAGTCATTCGGGTGATGTGATAGGGAAATGCATTGAAAAACACTTGCTTGAGTGGGGAATAGATAAGGTGCTCACAATCACAGTAGATAATGCTAGCTCCAATGATGTTGCGATCAAGTATATAAAAAAAAGGCTAAACAATTGGAAACATAGCATTTTAGGGAGTGATTACATTCACATGAGGTGTTGTGCACACATATTAAATCTAATTGTCAGAGAAGGTTTGAAAGATTTGGATGACTCGATTTTTAGAATTCGTTCGGCTGTTAGATATGTTAGGTCATCACCAGCTAGGATGCAAAGGTTTAAGTTGTGTGTTGAGCAAGAAAAAATTGAGAGCAAGGGTTTAGTTTGCTTGGATGTTGAAACTGGATGGAATTTTACATTTTTAATGTTAGATGCTGCTGTGAAATTCGAAAAAGCTTTTGACAGGTTGGGAGAGCAGGATTTTAAGTATAGAGATGAGCTTTCAAGTTCAAAAATGACGGGTCTACCTACTGACTTAGATTGGGAGCATGCTCGTGCTTTATTGCCATTTTTAAGAGCATTTTATGATGCTACATTGAAGCTGTCCGGTTCTTCATATGTTACTAGCAATTATTATTTTCATGTTGTGTTTGGCATTGGAATGAGAATTAATGATAAGCTAAATGATCCAAACTCAAGCATAAAACTTATGGCTTCAAATATGAGGGAAAAATATCACAAGTATTGGGGGAATGTGAAAAATCTTAATCAACTCTTATTCATTTCTATGATTTTAGATCCTAGACATAAGATGGATTATGTAATCTTTGTGATTGATGAAGTTTACGATGCTGAGAAATCTGAGCAGTTGAGTGAAATTGTAAAACAAACTTTAAGTGAGTTGTTTGATCATTATAGTTTGTTAATTGGTAAATCCCAAGAGGAACCAAGTGTTGCTTCTCAATCTAATGTCTCTAGGGTTGAAAATGATGAGCTGCTTGATTTGTATGCTTATTCCAAGACCAAGTACAAAAGGAAGAGGGCTGAAAGTGTGTTTAGTGAAGGAAAATCTGAACTTGAAAATTATTTGGAGGACAAAGTAGAACCTGATGTTAAGAAATTTGATATGCTTGATTGGTGGAAGAACAAAAGTCAGACCTATCCCATAATTTCTTTTTTTTATAAGAATTTCAGGCCTCATTAAAAACCTCATTCTTGATTGAAGGTGCTTGTTGATAAGCTCCTTAATCAGCGAAAGAGGAAAAGAGTGCCTTAGGATATTATTGAATGAAACAATAATATACAAGATACAACCCTAAAAGTAAAGTAAACAGACAGGTCAACACAAGGCAACCTTGTGACCCATAAACATCAACATTTAATCAACCAATTCCTTCTTTAGCTAAGGCATCAATCTCTAAGTTAGATGTCCTGCTTACCCATCTAACCACACCATCGAACATATTAAGCCAGTAAACAATGTCTGTAACCAAATAAGCATAAACATGAGGACATAATTCAGCCCCCTTAACCCAGTCCACTGCCATCTTGCTGTCACTTTCAATAATCAACCTGTCTTTGATCCTCGCTCGAAAATCAGCGTAGAACATTAGCCCCTTTTGAATAGCTTTTAACTCCATAAATGTTGGAGGCCCCGGACCTGCAGGCTCCTTGAAAGACCCTAATGTAGTTCCAGAGGAATCTTTTAAAACTCCTCCTAAACCACTCTTCTTCCAATCCTTAGTCGTAGCTGCATCAACATTAATTTTCACAAAACCCATAGGAGGAGGATGCCACGGAATAGTAGACACAATCATATTAGAATAGGTGGAACAAACGTCCCCTAAGGAGGGGTCTGAAATGAGAGAGTCTTTAAGAATATGCACCCCTTTATTCTTCGCTAGGAACCATGAAGCAAGCCTAAACCTTGCTAAGAAGAAGAATTCAACCTCATCCAACTTCCCTCATTCAAAAACAATTGAGTTCCTCAATTTCCAAGTAGTCCAAATAACTACCCCTGGAATGAGAGACCAAATCAGAGAATTAGTCTTCAACGCATCCCAATTCAAGAGAAAACTTTTAGCATTATAATGAAAAACAGTTTGAATCTTCCAGAAGTTAAGAAATTTATTCCAAACAGCCCACACCATCGAACACGAGAAAAACAAATGTGAAGGAGACTTCCTGCATCATGCAAAGAGGGCATAACAGATTCTGAATTCTTTCTATTCCTCTTTTCACCAGTTTTGTTTTAACAACCAACCTCCCTAGAACAACCTGCCACAAAAAGGACTCAACTTTTGGTGGCAGCTGACCCCTCCAAACAATCTTACTCCAGAAGTAGGCCTCATCCGAACATAAAGAACTTGATGAGCATAGATTGACAGCAGATTTCATAGTGAACACCCCATCCCCAGACCCTTTCCAAATCATCCCATCCGAATTATCCAAATTTAGAG